GTGAGACTCTCTTTCTCTTTTTTTTTTAATTGTAGAGATGGGTCTCACTCTTGCACAGGTTGGTCTCGAACACCTGAGTTCAAATGATCTGTGCACCTTGGCCTCCAGAGTGCTAGGATTATAGGTTTGAGCCACTGTGTCCGACCGAAACTCTGTATTAAAAAAAGAAAAAAAAGGCTGCAGTTGAAGGAGGAAGGTGTACAGTTTTGGGGGTTGTTAGGCAGTGGACAGAACTCATAGGGGCCTCAGTTGATGGCCTGGTTACTTTGTGAAGTAGAAGGTGAGAGGGGGGACTGTGGGGGATGAGGTACGACCTCATAGAGAAAGAAGGTGTGAAAAGTCCAAGAATGGAGTGTGGTCCCTTTGGGGCACAGGTCCTGTTGAGTCAAGTCTTTCTGTATTTGAATGGTTGAATCATTTTTAGAGAGGCCACATGGAAGAAGTCTGTGGTCCCTCGAAGGGCATAGTTCTCCTTGTGCTTCCAAAGCTGCCTGGACTCTGGCCTCATCCTGGAGAGGTCCGGCCCCCACTCTGAGTTCTCTGGGCTTCTCAATGATCATTGGATGGTTCCTGCAAGGTTTGCAATTGGGCAGTGATGACATTAATGGCAGATAAGCAGACACTGAGTAGCCAGTCATTTGGAACACCATGGTCTAGGGATGTGGGCATGGGATTTCTGCCCGATCTCAGGGCCTTGGCCATGTGTCACTCTGCACCTGGGGAGTGGGCCTCAGAGTCATTTTGTGTACCTGTGCACACAGGTCGTGTACAATGTGGGACTCTGCATCTGTCTGTTTGACATCACCAAACTGGAGGATGCCTACGTGTTCCCAGGGGATGGTGCGTCACACACCAAAGGTGGGTATCTTCTCTTTCTAGGGTGTTAGTTTTGTTGGGGCTCAGTTTTCTATAGCAAAAGGTCAAGCCAAAGCCAAGTGTGGTGGTGCACCTGTGGTCCCAGCTACCCAGGAGGCCGAGGCAAGAGGATCACTTGAGCCCAGGAGTTAAAGGCCAGCCTGAGCAATAGTGAGATCCTATATCTAAAAAAAAAATTAAAATAGGATGTAAAATAAGGGCTGGCTACAGTGGATAACACCTGTAATCCCCAGCACTTTGGGAAGCCAAGACAGGATCACTTGAGGCTAGGAGTTTGAGACTAGCCTGGGCAACATAGACCCTGTCTCTGCAAAAATAGAAAAATCAGCAAAGCGTGATGGCACATGCCTGTAGTCCCAGCTACTCAGGAGGCTGAGGCAAGAGGATTTCTTGAGCCCAGGAATTTGAGGTTGCAGTGAGCTGTGATGATGCTCTAGCCTGGGCAAAAAGAGTAAGATTCTGTCTCAGTTAAAATAAGGTCAGGCCACAGAGAGGGCTGGAGGGTGGTGGGAGTCTTGCAGCTGAGTCCTGAAGCTGCCAGAAATTGACTGACTTGGTGGCAATGGGCAGACTCTTGCTCTCTCTCTGGGCCTCGGTTTCCTCATCTGTAAGACCCAGGAGGTGGACTAGGGGATTCTCAAGGCTTCTCCAGCTCTGAGATTGTGGTTTTATGTCTGTGCCCCTTTTGGTCTCATCTGGTACTGAGCCCACTCTCTGCCCGGCCCTTGGGCTGCTGCTTGGTGGGGGGAGACAGGCCAGGCAGGGAGGACGCTGTGGAGTGGTCATCACTGGGCTAGGGGTGTGTAGAGCAAAGGGCAGGGGGACTTTGAGAGCAGGAGGATGTAGCAGTAAGAGTGTGGCCTTGGGATTCAAAGCCCAGCTCTGCCACTTACTAGCTGTGTGTCTGAGCAGAATAGGGAACCTCTCTGTCTTCATCTATAAATTGCAATTAACAGTAGATTTTATATTCCAGGACCTGGAGAGGAGGTCAGGAAAAAAAATGTATATCTATGTATTCCAGGACTATTGTAAGGATTAAGGGGTTAATGCCTGTAAAGGACAGGACCTTGGCACCTCGTGAGTGCTCAGTGGCTGATTGACTTGGATTGTTTCTCCCGATTCTGTGGGTCAGTGGGTGGTGTTCTTCCAGACTGGCTGGGCCAGGGCTGGATGGTCTAGGATGGCCTCCCATTCTGGTCATTGGCAGACGGGTGGGTCTAGGGGCCTGGCCTGGGCTGGGCTGGCTTGTCTTTGCCCCACGTGGTCTCTCCTTGTGGTAGGCCAGACTGGGCTTGGTGCTTATAAGGTTCCAAAGCTTAGCGCACAGCCTCTTCTTGAGCCTCTGCTTAGATCCCGTTGGTCAAAGCAGGTCAGATGGCCAAGGCCAGGGTCAAGGGATGGAGAAATAGATGCCACCTCTGGATGGAAGAAGGTGTAGTCACATTGCAAAGGGGTATGCATCTGGCATGGGAGGGTGGTCCCCAGATCTCAGAAGGAGGGAGGAATAGAAAGACAGCTACCTTGAGAGGAGCTATGACAGCCAGTCAAGGAAGGTGTGAGCCCAGGCAACCTCTCAGGAAAGGGAAGAGCATTCTTCACTTTCCTGTCTGGACCCAGCCGCCCAGCCCGAGGTGGAGGGTGAGGGCCCGTTGAGGGGATGCAAGACAGTCAGAGTGTAGGTGTGTGGCCTTGGCCTTGCCATCAACTGGGCATTCGTGAAAAATGCAGATTCTCAGCCTGCGCCGGCCTGCTGAGTCAGGTTCTCAGCGGGGTGGACCCAAAGACTGTGTTAACAAGGTGCCTGGTGGTTGTCACACATGCCCACTCTTGAGGAGCCTTGCCATGGTCCCTTTGGCCAGCCTGTCAGCACAGAGATGCCTGAGAATTCCAGAACGTGCTGAGACTGCCTGGTGTTCATGTCTAGCCATCCAGAGACATAAATAGTTTCTGGCCATCCTAGATGGATTTTGCCGCACTCTGGGAAGAGCACTGAGAAACAGGCTGTCTCTGTACAGACCAGGAGCGTTTTCACTGGGACACGAATAAGACCATGGTGTGCAGTGGCTCACGTCTGTAATCCTAGCACTCTGGGAGGCCGAGGCTGGCAGATTGCTCGAGGTCAGGAGTTCGAAACCAGCCTGAGCAAGAGCGAGACCCCGTCTCTACTATAAATAGAAAGAAATTAATTGCCCAACTAACACATATATAGAAAAAATTAGCCGGGCATGGTGGTGCATGCCTATAGTCCCAGCTACTCAGGAGGCTGAGGCAGCAGGATTGCTTGAGCCCAGGAGTTTGAGGTTGCTATGAGCTAGGCTGACGCCACAGCACTCACTCTAGCCTGGGCAACAAAGCGAGACTGTCTCAAAATAAAAAAAACGATTTATACTGTTGAGTTTTATTATCCGCACACCCCCACCTTGGGTCCCCATTTTGTTGAGAGCCAGGTGGAGATGTGTGGCAATACACAGACCCAGATTTGAATTCTGGCTCTTGCCCCCCTAGATAGGGATCTTGGGCAGGTAACTCCACCTCTCTCTGCCTCAGTTTCCTCATCTGTACAATGAGGTTAACACTTGTGACTATAAAGCTGGGTGTGGTGGTGCACACCTATAGTCCCAGTTACTCAGAAGGCTGATGCAGGAGGATCACTTTGAGCCCAGGAGTTCGAGGCTATAGTGAGCTATGACGGTGCCATTGCACTCCAGCCTGGGTGACAGAGACCCTGTCTCTTAACAACAAAAAAACCCACTTGCAACTAAAAGCTCCTCAAGGCCTGTTGAGCACTGTACAGGGTGCTACTTTGTGGCGGGGCTTGATTCCCAGCTTCAAGGCTGACCCCCGACCCCAGGCACCTATCCCACTTCTCCTGCCCCCATCTTACCAGGGCTATGGCCATTGAGTGCTGAGGGAGGGGGTCAGCACCTGACATGCCACGTGTCACCTTTGCTTTGGGAACATTCATTGGCCAGGTGCCTGCTACTTGCACCCCCTGTGGCCCCGGCCGTGTTGCAGCTGCCTGTCCCAGACGCTTCCCCATCTGCACACCCCCGAGACAGCAGCAGCGCCGCCCTCGCTGATGGCTGCGAGGGGCAGAGCAGCAAGCCTCTGGGAAGCCTTTGGCCGGCGCCTGGCACGTGGTAGGTGCTCACAGATGTCAGCCTTTGTGATTTGGACACTGACCCCAATTGGCCAGGCCTGTTACTTCATGCCGGCCCTGTTCTCCATGCCCTCCAAGCCCAGGACCTGCCTTGTGCCCCCACCCTAGAGTGGGTGGGGACCCTGCTCTCGGCTCCAGAGCAGCTGTCTTTGTGCCTTCATGCTGTCGTTTGCTATTATCTTTTTGCTATTGGGGTAAAATACACATAACAAAGATTACCACTTTAAACTGTACACATTTATAAGTGTACAGTTCAGTGGCATTAAGCACATTCACATTTTTTTTCTGAGTTATTTTTTCTCCTCAGTATTTACCACAGTTTTAAAACTACAAATTTTATTTATCTACTTTCTCTCATTAGAATGGAAACTGCACAAAGAGAGGGACTTTCTGGTCTGCTTTGTTCACTGTCACAGACCCACTACTTAGAATAGTGACAGACATATGCGAAGCACTCAGTAGCTATTTGTCGAATGAATGAAGAAAAAGGGTAGACGTTTCCAAGAGGCAAATTTTATTCTTTAATGAAAAACCTTATAATAAGCAGAGCTGCTTGCCAGCACAATCTAATTCAAAACGTACAGAACGCTACTTCTTGAACAGCTGTTACTTCATCTCGTCTTCACAAAGCCCCAGGATAGGAGGAAGGCTGGGCAGAGATTATGATGCCTGTTCAAGAAGAAATAGTCCAGGCTGGGCGCAGTGGCTCACGCCTGTAATCCTAGCACTCTGGGAGGCCGAGGTGGGAGGATAATCTGAGCTTAGGAGTTCAGTACCAGCCTGAGCAAGAGCGAGACCCCGTCTCTACTAAAAATAGAAAGAAATTAGCTGGGCGACTAAAAATATATATAGAAAAAATTAGCCAGGCATGGTGGTGCATGCCTATAGTCCCAGCTACTCGGGAGGCTGAGGCAGAAGGATCGCTTGAGCCCAAGAGTTTCAGGTTGCTGTGAGCTAGGCTGACGCCACGGCACTCTAGCCTGGGCAACAGAGTTAGACTCTGTCTCAAAAAAAGAAAAAAAGAAATAGTCCAAACAGAGGACAAGGACTCGCCAAAGTTCAAACACCTGGCTGGAATAGGGGTGCAGCTGTGGATGAATGTTGGCCCTGGAAGAGCCTGGGAGGTGATGGGTGACAGTTGGGTTTGAAGGGCCTCTGTTGCCAGAAGCCATGAGGACCTCTGAAAGGGAGGCTGAGTCAAAGGTGACTAGAACTGAGGAGCAGCAAAGGAGTAGGGGAGGCGACAAGGCTGATCTCTAATCGGATTTGTCCCAGGCCTGGGAGGGCAGCTGAGTTTCCCCACGGCAGTATTCTGAGCTTGGGGCTGACTAGTCAGTCACTCAAGTCTGTACATAATTTCCAGTGTCGGAACTGGACAGGCGACCTCGAGAGACCAGTGAGTCCACCGCTAGTTTTCAGGGTCTGTGAGGACTGTGGAGATGGTTGGGGCAGCGACCATGTTGGTGTGTTTATCCCCAGCTTCTGTAGAGCCTGGACTAAGTAGGAATGCACATATTTTTGTTCAGGGCATACATACAAGAATGAATGTGCTCATACCAGAAACAGGCTGAGAGCACAGACAGGAGGGGCGTAAAATCACCCAGCAGTTCCGAGGTAGAAGCTGATAAATATTCCTGGGACTCAGTAGGACACACAGCCTGAGTACTAACGCAGGTGGCTGTGAGCTCTTTTTCAGAAGGGGTTAAGCACATTCACATTGTTGTGCCACCCTCATCACCCTCCATCTCCAGAAGATTTTTATCTTCCCAAACTGAGGCTTGATAGCTATCAAACGCTAATTCCCACTGCCCTGGCCCCCACCCCCACCATTTTGCTCTGTTTTTGTTTTTGTTTTTTTTTAAAGCCAGTCAAATTTAGCAGTGGGGGTTTGAATACCAACTTTAGCGATACTAACGTTAATAAGTTCTGACAACTCCTACCATCGGACCAGCCTGCTCTGTCTGCTTGACTACTCTGGGGACCTCACGTAAGTGGAATCATGTAGTATTTGTCCTTTTTATAGAAACTCACCATGTCCCAAGGCAGCCTTACTTATCCTGGGACAAACTTTGTTCAAGCCCATGACTGAGAATGAGGCTTCTCTTCCTGATGGTCCTTGGGGCCCTCCTCTGGCTTCCCAGCCTCCCACCTGCAGGCCGAACATCCTAGAACTTCAGGTGGGCTCCTGTGCGACAAGCCCCAGACCCGGCGTGTCCTCTGTGTGCTCCAGTCGAGCTGTGATTCACACAACACAGAGTTCGCCCTTTCAAGCCTACAGTTCGGTGGGTTCTAGTATATTCAGAGTTGTGCAGCTATCACCACTGTCTAATCCCACATTTCATCGCCCTAAGAAACCCCACGCCTGTTAGCCGTCAGTCCTTTCGCTCCCCTTCACCCCCCCTGGCAACCTCTAATCTACCGCTGTGGACTTGCTTGTTCTGGACACTTAGGTAAGTAGAACCGTACGCTATGTGGCTTCTGTGACTGGCTTCTTACTCAAGGTTCACCCATGTTGTAGCATGTGTCACAAGTTCCTTTTTGAGGCCGAGAACATCCTATGACGTGTGCACCTTGTTGTTTATGCACTTCTCTGTTGGGGGACGCTTGGGTTGAGTTGCATTTGGGGGGGCTCTTGCATTTGCTTTTGGATGTGTTTGTTCCAGACCAGGGTTCCCTGGGCACAGGATTATGTGCTGTCCCACCCATCGGCCCAGCGGCTAAACCAGGCTTTGCACAAACCTGGGACAGGCTCTTTGAGGATTTATTAAACCGAACTGAACATTGGGTCATGCGGGGGACAGGGTTTTTCCATCCTGTGGGCAAGTGACCCTTGGCTGCCCTCTTGTGCTCTCCGGAAGGCCAGCAGGAGGCTTGGTCATCGTCAAGGTGGCTCCAAGGGCTCATGCTTATCTCCTTGTGGGGAGAGGGCACTGGCTGCCTCTCCTTTCCTCATGCCTCGCTGTTGTGCGGAGCCGGGCACCCTGCTGTCCTGGGTGCCATGGTGGAGGCCTGTGTTTGGAGATTAAACCTGTCAGAGGCAGGCAGGCGTCAACCCGTGGTCCTGTCTGGTGGCTACAGCTAGACTTGGAGGCTCCCCATGGCGGAATGGACAGAACAGCTGTGTGGCTGTGAGCAGGTTACCCAGGCTGTCTGAGCTGCCGCCTCCTTCTCACAGTGGGAAGGTGACATCTAGCACAGGTGGAGCATGACAGCATGCAGCCAACAGCGGGGGACAGCTCCATGCTTATTCTCAGCCCAGCATTGGGTGACCCCTTTGGGGCTTTAAGCAAGGAGCCAGGAGTGGCAGGTGACATACAGCTTCTGCCAGGGTCTGGGGTCAGTCTGTGATATGAATATGAGCACAGATCCTATCTGGTATTTTCTTTGGGGTGAGGTGAGTGGGGAACCCCTAGGCAGGGCCTGAAAACCTGCAGAGGCATTCTGCTGGGCTGTCAGCCTGCGCCTCGGTACCGGCATTTTTAGCATCCTGTTCCAGGTCAGAGCTGTGCCTGCGGCAGAGTTTGCCAGGTGGGAGGAGACAGGGGACTTGTTTCTAAGGCTCGTCCCCTTTGCCAGTGCTTCTGTCCTGTTTAGAATTGAAAGGAGAGAGCGTGGAGGAAGGTTGGAATTGACTTTGGAGTCACTAGGGGCACAGAGTCTGGCCTCGTGTTCTTATCTGGTGGATCTGGGAGCCAGCCCTCAGCTCCACGCAGCCACTGCTGGCCCCTTATGTGGGGACCAAGCTGTGGCCTTGCAGGCGATGGAGGGAGGGTCCTCTGGTTCTGGGTTTGCAGGAGGACATGGCATGGATCCCTGGTGGCTCCTGAAACAGCCATGGAGGCCTTCAGGTCAATGGGCTGGTACGTGAGGTTGACATTGGAGAGCACGGTGGCCTGTCTCAGTGGCCATCCTTGAGTCACTGATGTGCCTCCTTTGTTTCCAGTGCATTTTCGCTACGTGGTGTTCCATCCCTTCCTGGACGAGATTCTGATCGGGAAGATCAAAGGCTGCAGCCTGGAGGGAGTGCACGGTAACAGCGGGAGCACGTGGGGTGGGCGGTCTGTGCCCGTCCCTGTGGGGGTGGGGGAGGGCAGAGGCCAAATCTTCCGAGGTGTCTGAAGCTCACTCATCCTCGAGGGCCTATGTGGGGGAGCACTTAGCCCCCTCTTGCTTTCATGTATCAAGTGAGGACCTCAGTCGGCCTCGAGGTTTCACTGTGAGGCCGGAACTCAGGACGTCAGGGTGGGCACTGAAGGTGGTGGAAGTGACTGGGGGCCTATGGTGCCTGCTGGTCCCTGTTGTGTGCAGTGTCCGCCTGAGGTTTTGGGGACCGGTTGCTTGGGTCTCTGTGGGTGATGTAGGCAGAGGCTAAGCCTCAGGGTGGGGAAGGGGCCCAGATTTCCATGGCGACACCTGCCCCCTGGGCAGCACCAGGTAGGGGGCTTAGCCTGTCAAGTAGCCAGCCCCTTGTTTGTCCACTGGTAACCCCTGTCCTGTGCTGTCGCCTTCATTTCCTCCAGTGTCTCTAGGGTTCTTCGATGACATCCTCATCCCTCCAGAGTCGCTACAGCAGCCAGCCAAGTTGTATCCTCCCGAGGCTAACGTGGGTCACGGAGGAGCTCAGGCCTGTCTAAGGGACAGTCCTCACCCCTCGGGTGGGCCCCTGGGTGCTGTGATCTGGCGCGGCTGGCCTCTGTGCTGCCCCTTTGCTCCAGAAGCACCCACCTGCCTGTGCCTCCCCGCATTGACCATGATGTCCACACGCCTGTCTCTACCTGGGCTGCCGGGCTTGGTTGTGTAGCTTGTGTGCTGCACACCATTAGGGCTGTGGTGTCCCGAGGGGCACCATTCACTTCTAGTTCACTTTTCTTAGGTTGTCCCTGCAGGAATCATTTCAAATCCTCCCCTGGGAGGTTTGTCCTGGCTGCCTGGGACGTGAGGCCTTGCCCATGTGCCAGGTCTGGGGCCAGGTTGTTTCCCTCTCCTGGGCCCCCATTGCCCTCGTCCCAGCCCTCACCTTGCTGCACTGAGGTGAGCTGTTTCTGTGGGGGTGTCACTAATCTGAGACTATTCACTGGGAGGGACTGTGTCCTGTCACCACTGTACCCGCAGTGCCAGCATGAGACCTGGCACAGACGGAGGACCCAGCGGTGGGACTGCCGCCAGAGGGCAGTGTGGCTGCTCAGTGTGGGCCCTGGAGGGAGATGGGGAGGGCACAGCGGCTGCCTGGCTGGGCCTGTGCGTGGGAAACCCTGGTCCCAGCTGGTCCTCTCACCAGCTGTGGGCCTTAGGGCAGGTGACCTCCTGTCCCACCACAACCTCTTGAAAACTGGGCAAGTCCACAAGTCTAGAGTGCCTATCAGATTGTCAGGACGCTTGGGTGAAGACGACCAGGGTGTGTGTGTGTGTGGGGGGGCACTGCAGGCAGCAGCAGGTCGTCTAATGAAGGACGCTTGGGTGAAGACGACCGGGGTGTGTGTGTGTGTATGGGGGGGGGCACTGCAGGCAGCAGCAGGTCGTCTAATGAGGTGGGATTTGCCGCCTCCCTTCCTTCCTGCTCTCATGCTGAGGACGTGTGTGGCCTGGCCCTGGTGCCTGGCAGGGGGCCCCAGGTTTCCTGTGCTGGATCCTGGTACCTGAGCACTGCTGCCCCTCCCAGTGGGCCCATGCCTTGCATGTGGGGCTGGGACCTGCTTCTCCTGTAACTTTCTAGACAAAGTGACCACAACCTGGGATTGGTTTTTCCTGGGGCAGTGCTGTGGGAGGACCCCCACCCCATGCTCAGCTCCACCACGACTCAGTTGTTGCCTTGACTCCGGGTCCCCCAGTGACGAGGCAGAGCAGGTATGGGTGTGGGAGTACGAGACGGAGGAAGGAGCGCATGACTTATACATGGACACTGGCGAGGAGATCCGCTTCCGGGTAGTGGACGAGAGCTTTGTGGACACGTCCCCCACAGGACCCAGCTCGGCTGAGGCCACCTCTTCTAGTGAGGAGCCACCAAAGAAGGAGGCCCCGTACACACTCGTGGTAAGAGGTCTTGCTGGCGCGGAGCCTGCTGTGCCGAGGGAGAGCCCAGGAGGGCAGCATGGGCCCTGCTCCCAGAATCCCCCACCTCCAGCAGGTCATGGTCCCTGCCCTGTGTGCTTGGCTGGTCACTTCTCCCTGGAGAGCCTGTTTCCATAGGCTGGGGCCGTGAGGGGACAAAGCTGCCTGTTGGGGAGGGTGGGAACATCAGTCCTGCTTGTAGGAGGGGCGGAGCCCATGCTGGACAAAGCCACTGATGAAGGGGCTTGGGAGAGATCAAAGCCCTGAGATCGAGGGTAGGGCCCCAGGGCAGGGCGACCTTCAGGGCCACTCCTCTCTGCACATAATTTGGAGGCTGGGCCTTATGGTGGCTTGGCCTTTCTGGTAGGACTAGACCACAGTGGCTCAGGAGGGCATGCGGAGGGTGCCTGACCACACTGAGGCCTTGGAGCCATCAAACCCATGCGTTCCTTTCTCAGGAGGAGCCTGCCTGGCTCGAGTGGCTCCTGATTTTCCCAAAGCCTCCTGGCTGTTGCGTGCCCTGCCTTTGCCTACACCAAGCCTGCTGGGTGCTGGGAAGGTTGGGCCCCTGACTTCCTGTCCCAGTTGGCTCAAGCCCTGAGTGACAGTGAGTGTGCCTGTTCTTTCTCTCCTCCTGGCAGGGATCCATCAGTGAGCCAGGCCTGGGCCTTCTCTCCTGGTGGACCAGCAACTAGCCCTGGGGCTCCACAGTGGATCCTGCCCATTGGCAGTCCCCACCCCTAGGAAGGTTGTGCGGCAAGCTGTGAAGACAGCAGCAGCTGAGGCTGATGCTACCAGCAACTGGACAGGGAGAGGGGCCAGAAGTGCCCGCCAGCTTGTCCCCCATGCCATCCTGGTCCTGCTCCTCCTCCCAGAGCTGCTACTGAAGTCCTGCCATCCCCACAGACTTCTGGCTTTCGGCAAAGACACTCAATAAACAACGTCAGTAGGGAAAGGGTCTTAAGGGTTGATGCCATGACCCAAGGTTACCGAGTTGCCATGGCATGTCCTTCCTCACCCCAGATCGCTTGTGGAGATGCTTTCTCCCAACGCCCTCAAAATGGCAAGACTTGGGGGCTGTGAGATGCAGGCTGCCTCAGGCTGGGCTTTGGGCCCTGGAAGCTGCCAGTAGCTGACGGCGTCTAAACATGAAGGAGCAGCCACCTTCCCATCAGCTTTAGGAGGAGAGTAGCCCGAGTCAGCCAAACCAGCTCCTGCTCAAGGAGTGGATGCCGTGGACTCTGGTGACCATTCTCCGTCATCTCCCACCTCCTTCCCTGCCACGGTACAGCAGAAAGCCTGGGGCCAGCTGACACTCGGACCTTAGCCTCTGCCATGAGCACCCTGCAGGTCTGCTGGGTTTTGCCAGGTTCCTCCTGCTCTTTCTCCCACATCTGCTGACACCAGGACACTCATTTTGCAGTAAGTCTTATCCTGGTGATGGGGCCTCCTGCCCTGGGCTCTAATGGGGCAACAGAGAATGGAGGTGCTGGAAGCATGTGTGCCTGGCCTCCAGCTGGTGCTCTGCTTCCCTAAAATAAAATTAAGAAAATAGCAGTGCTGTACGGGGTCCACTGATGCTGCTCCAGGAAGAGAAGCCCGCTCTTTGCCACATCCTGGTACTCCAGAGGCAGGTGACAATAGGTGTCTTGTGTTAGCTGTGACCTTGGGCAGACTGAGTGGCCTCACCTGTTAGATGGGCTGTGCCCACCCTCAGGGTGTTGAGAGGGCTGGATGGGACCATGCCTGCCACATCACTGCCCAGGGCAGGGTGAAGGCCCCTCTCTGGGAGGCTCCAACCTGGCCGGGCAGGGCTGCCGGGCAGGGCTGCCGTGCAGGTGGAAGCGGGTTGGGTGGGAGGTGATGGGAAGGTCTTTTCTGCCACAGTTCAGGTCTCCTTCCAGCTGTGGCTACCTCCACTGGTCTTAGCTGAAAAGACCCTTCCTGAACCCCGGAACTGATGACAGACTACACAGACATCAACCACTCATAGGAACAGCCGCTGAATTTGGATTCTTATTTTCCTTGCAAGAGCAAAAGGTTCTCTAAAATCCTTCAGCCACAAGTGAAATGATCAGGAAGGAGAAAAACTTCTTTAGGTGTGAATCTTGTCATCAAAAATAAATACAGTTGCACGGAGTTGCTCAAGATCTGAACCAAACTAAAAACAGGAAGGCAGGGGCTAAAAAATTATCTTAAGAACGACCCCCAACTGCGGTCACTCCATAGGCTGAGGGAATGGAGGGCAGGAAGCGTGTCTGGTCACACCATCTTGGAGCAAGAAGCCATGGCTGGATGGATCAGATCGGCTCTGACGGCGCACGTGCAGCTGCATTTGTACGTAACGCCAGCGCAGGGTCGGAGGGGCAACCTGAGTCCTGGGCCTTAGTGCTGCAGCTCCTTCATTCTGTTCAGGGCGCTGCCGGCACGGAACCACTCGATCTGGGTCTCGTTGAAGGTGTGGTTCAGAAGGATGGTCTCCTGGGTGCCGTTAGGGTGTTTGATGATGCATTTCAGGGGCTGCAGGGAGGGAGGAGGGTGTGGGTGGGTGCTCTGAGGAGCACCCCACCTTGGATTTGCAGGGGCAGGAGGGCAGGTAAACTGAGCCTTAGGCCAGGTTTAAGGCTGTGTGGCCCAGGTAAAACCTGGATGGGACCCATAGGGGATGCCTGGGGCCCAAAGGGCTCTGCTGGGGCTGGGCTGTCACCCGAGGCCAAGCCTGGCCTAGTGAGTGGGGAGTCAGGGTGGGAGGGCCTGGGCTGGCACTTCTCTGCTCCACAGTGTTGCCGGAACGCTGCTCCAGCTAGAGCTGAGGTTATGGGAAGAGTTGCCGGTGGGGCCACGTGCAGAAGGAGGGGAAGCAAGGTGCCCGCCTGCCTGCCCACCCTTCTTCCTCAGCCCCCTGACCTTGCCGGGGGCGAAGTCGTTCAGGCCCTGAATGGTCAGCTTGTCCACAGGGTGAATCTTGTTGTAGTCGGCTGGGTCAGCAAAGGTGAGGGGCAGCAAGCCCTGCTTCTTCAGGTTGGTTTCTGGAAGGCAGAGGCACGCTTGGTCAGTGGGGGCAGGGGTGCCCCTTCCCTGCTCCTCTGTGCAAAGAGCCTCACTGGCCCTGACAGTGTCCTTTTCTAAATCCAGCTGGGGCTCTGGGCGACACCTCTATCCTGCTGCCTGGGACAAAGCTGGGGCAGTGACTACAAGGCCCCAGGGTCTGTTCCACTCCTGCTTTCACGGGGGCACCTGAAGCGAGTGCGTGCTGGTGCAGTCTCTGGGAGGCCTCCTGCTAGGCACAGCACAATTGGAAAACCCTCTGACGTGCGTCCTGGGCTCCAACTGCACAGGCCTGCCAGCTTGGAAGCAGGTCCAGTGCTTTGGGGATTGGAAGCTGTGGCTACTTGTGCTGCGCAGACCCAGGCACAAGGCTCCAGGCCCAGCCCCACCACTGGCAGGGTGGCTGACCTGGGGCTGCCAGTAGGGGACATGTGTGGGCTGGGTGTGGGCTCCAGCTCACCGTGGATCCTGGCGAAGCTCTTGGTGATGATGGCCCGGCCCCCGAGGTGGCGCGGCTCTAGCGCCGCGTGCTCCCGGCTCGAGCCCTCGCCATAGTTCTCATCTCCAATCACCACCCATTTGATGCCGTGTTTCTGCCAGGCAAGAAGGGTGAGGTTATGAGGCATAGGAGGGTACTGTCCCCACCTGCCCAGCCATGGGCATCATGAGGCTCTGGGGTCAAGGGGCTGGAAAGGTCCTTCCTCTCCTGTTTCCCAGGGCAGTGAAGTCTCTAGGATAGGACATTCTCTCATGGGGGCAGGCCACTCAAAGGGAGGACAGGTATATCTGTTCACCCTTGAGACCTAAGCCCCCAACTAAGATGCCCAGGCTGGAAGATCAGCCACAGGCCTCATACCGGACCAGTCCCATCTGTCATACAAGCTTAATACTGTGTCACAAGAGTGCCTGGAGACCCCTTAGTAAGCAGCATAAATTAATGTCTGACAGGGGTCTGAGTCACACCATAAAGGCTTGTGTCTGTTCGGCTTCCAAACACAGACCATACACACTGATGCCACCTGTGGGGACAGGAGGAATCAATGGCTTCCAGAGCCTGCGTGGGTATACCACAGGGTGGAGAGGTGCTGTGCAGCCCTCTTACCCTGCCTGTACTGTCCTCGCCTGCCCACACATGCTGGAGGTGGGCCTCGCCAGCTGCTGAGGACGGCACAGGGCCGCGGACAGCAGCTGGCCAGAAGCTCGAGCTCTGCCCAGCTTGGGGCCAAGGAGACAGGAACCCCGGGCTGCAGTGCCCTTCCTCCTTCAGCCTAAACTCCCTTCCTGCCCTCATCTTCATCTTAACACTCTCACCAGGTCCCCCTGGGCTCAGGGCCCCACCAGCTTAGGGCTGTCCTCCCTCCCCGCTGCGCTGCTGACCTTGATGAGGATCTGCAGATCTTCCAGGTCTTTGCCGTCCCACTTGTCAAAAGGCTCCAGGAGCTGCAGGCGCTGGCTGGTGGGGCTCACATCGACCCGCTGCCCGCTACTGTCCTTAGGGGGGTGCTGGTAGGTGTCCTGCCCTGGGTCGAACTCCTGTAGCAGGGGACAGGGATGTGCTGGGTGCCGTGGGCAGCTCTCACAGAAGGCAAGCTCCCCCCCACACCCGAGCCACTCCCGAACAGCAGGGGGCAGCGCTGCTCACCGCTTGGGGAAGTTCATCAGCATCGGGAGCCTCCAGCTTGAACTTCTTGCCATCCTTGCCTGTCAGGAAATCAGTCTCTGGGTTGAACTTGAGGGTTCCCGCAATGGCCAAGGCTGTGACAATCTGAAACGGAGGTGGCCAGTTTGTTGGTGAGCACCAAACATCACTCCTATGCCCCCGACCCCAGCAGAAGCCTAGACCAAAACTGAGACTGGAACCCAGGAAATTTCCATGTTCTCCCCAGACCCCTCCTCTCCTTGGATGCCAGGGCTGCAGGACTATCTCTGGGACCCAAGAGCAGTCTAGCCTCTCCCTATCCTGCCAGGCCCTGGAGCTCAGTGCTCCCCTAGGGCAGCCGGCCGGGTCTCGCAGCTGTGTGCTCCACCCCTCAAAGGTGCCCTGGAGAGCAGTCCCTGGCACAGAAATGCTGGTGTGATGAAAATGTGCCTCAGTGGGCAGCAGCCTGGAAACATGGAAGGGGCCATTCCTTCACTCATTAGCAAGCAGATACACACTCCACTCCAGAAAGCCTGGCTGACGCTGAGTACCCACCAAGTGCCTGGGGCACTCAGCTCACTCGTGTCCACGATACCGAACTGAACTCTCACCCTGGGCCAGAAACCTACATGTTCCACGTGCTTTTCCAGGTAACCCTGACAGGATTATTGGGACACAGAGAAGGTAGATAACTTGGCCACGCTCATACAGCTAGTTTGAGGCAAGGCTGGGATTTGTCCCAGGCAGTGAGAGTCTAAACTGCACGCTCATAACACAAAGTGTACTAAACAAACACCTCATAGTCCTGCGACACAAGGAAGACCCAGGTAGGATAGACCAAGGGAACATGGAGCTTGGGGGCTGGGAGGGCTTGGGGTCTGGTGCTTTTGCCCCAAGCCCATCTCCCCCACTTCTGACCCGCAGGTGCAGTCGGAGGATAGCACCAGCTGGGCAGTCTCACCTCTGGGGACGTGACGAAGGCGTGGGTCTCGGGGTTCGCGTCGTTGCGGCCTGTGAAGTTCCTGTTGTAGGAAGTGACGATTGTATTCTTCTCTCCCTTCTTGATGTCCTTTCTGCCAGGTCAGAGGGGACATGGTTAAGGATATCTAGCCTTGTCACCTAGCCTGTCCTGAGGCCAAATGAGCCACATTCCCGCAGCACACACCTAGCTCATGACAGAAGGTTGCCTCCTCCCTGGGACCCACACACGGAGTGGGAGGGAACCTCGGGATCGCTGGGCCTTGCCTGAGAGCACACGTAGACAGAGACAGAGCCAAGACACGCTCTGAGTTTCCAGATTGGGACCACTGCCTCTTCTCAAATGGCTCTGTGAGAGCTGCCGCTGTATCCATTAGGATGAGACCTCACTGGCTTCTTCCTGCCAGCCCAGGCCCCGCCAAGCGGCCACTTAGTGCCTCAGTTGGGCTCTTCCTTTTTCGAGCCCAACTTCCCAGTCATGCCTGACAAAGTCCAATATGCAACAGCCCCTGGAGCTAGGGGCCTTGGGCCTGAGTCTCTTCTCGGTACCCTAATAAGATCCTCCCTCAACTTCTGGGGCTCTGTACCCCCGTGCACAAGGGGCTCTCCTATTGAAGACGTGCCTCTCACCTGTCCCACTGGCCAATGCATGGGCCACAGGCATTGGCCAGGACGATGCCGCCCACATCCCTCAGGATCTGTGCCTGCAGGGTGAGAGGAGGACAGGGAACTGTCAGGGCTGGTGAGTGGGTGATGGGAAAGGGTAGTTCAGCAGCTTGCAGGATGGAACCCTACAGCAGCCACTGGGACCGGCACCAGCCCTGCCCAAACAAGCCTGTGGCTTGTCCCACCCTGACTCCACATTGCTCAGCAGTGGGGGGTGGGGAAGGGGCAGGGGTACATGGGCACTCACGTAGCCGTCCCGCTCAATGGTGGCACGGATCTGTTCAGAGCCTGGAGTGATGGTGAATTGAGACTTGCACTTGAGTCCATGGGCCAGTGCTTGCTTGGCCACAGCTGCCGAGCGCCCCATGTCCTCATAGCTTGAATTGGTGCAGCTGCCGATCAGGCCTGGTGCATTGTGGGTGGTGGGGTCAGGGGTCAGGAGGAGAAACTGAGCAGGGGTCTCCACCTGACCTCAAACTATCCAGACCTGGTCAAAAGAATTCACCATCTAGGCAGGGCGTGGATGGCTCACACCTATAATCCTAGCACTCTGGGAGGCCGAGGCGGGAGGATCAATTGAGCTCAGGAAGAGACCAGCCTGAGCAAAAGCGAGACCCTGTCTCTACTAAAAATAGAAAGAAATTAGCTGAACAACTAAAAATATATATAGAAAAAATTAGCCAGGCATGGTTGCGCATGCCTGTAGTCCCAGCTACTTGGGAGGCTGAGGCAGTAGGATTGCTTGAGCCCAGGAGTTTGAGGTTGCTGTGAGCTAGGCTGATGCCACAGCACTCTAGCCCGGGCAACAGAGCGAGACTCTGTTTCCAAAAAAAAAAAAAGAGAATGAGTTATTCAAAAAGACATTAAAAACAGAATGATATTGCACTGTCTATAAATATCAAGACAGTTTCTCATCAATTCAATTTTTTTCTAATTATTAAACCCCAAAGATTTTTCTAAGTTTGCTTCAAAGAATAAGGGTGAACATATTATATTGCACTCATTTTATGCCAGACACTGCAGAAAGCTCTTTTCACATACTCTCAACTCCTTCCCACAGCTTTAAAGAGGTCAGTATGACTACTGCTCCTGTTTTTCAGATGGGGAAGCCATGCACTGACAGTGACGCAGCCTGCTCAGGGTCACCTGCCTATCAAGTGTCAGGGCCAGGACTCAAACTCAGGCCATTTGGCTGCAGGGTCCACACTCGCACAGCCACACCGTCCTGCCTCCCGACAGCAGCGATGCCAGCGCCACTGACATGCCAGGATGTCTGCATATGTAAAGCATGTAAAGTCAAAGTAGCATGGCTGGAAAGATGTCTGTAGAACAGAGAAGCGTGCACATGTATAGAAACACAGCACACGTTTCAAAAAGTTCCTAAAGCTTTTTTCTGGTTATGGGTTGACATTAGGGGTGTTTTCTTGTTTGTCAATATTCTCTACAATAGGATATTTTTCTTTTATTCCAAGAAAAAGTAACTTTAAAGATGATAATAATAAGTCTTTTCAGAAAGCGCCCAGTTTAGGAAGTGCCACACAGTAAACACAGGTGATTGTCTACAGCCCTGGGCAGAGCCATGGACCCTGAGACCTTCTAAACCAACAGGTGGAAGGTGCTCACCCACTCGGATGTCCACAGGCCATCCTTCCTTCTCTGCCACAGCACCCACTTCTGCCACAGGGTGAGCCAGGTCAGGGGTGAAGGGCCCATTGATATGTGGCTTCAGCTGAAGAAACAAAGATGCAAAGAACAGAAAAAGAGAGGAGGGAACAAAGGTTGGTGTGTGGACAGCCTCTGTTCACTGCCTTACCATGTCCGAACAGGGGCAGCCAGCTACTGTTCTCATAGCTCAAACCTCATCATGGCAAATACCTGAGCAGTAGGCGCTATACACGCACCAGCTCCTGGGCGCCCTCCAAAACTACAAGGCTGGTCTTATCTCTATTCTGCAGATGAAGGGACTCAGAACCTCGCTTAAGGTCACATAGCTAGGAGAAAGCAAGGGCATGGAATGGATCAAGGCTGTCGCTTCATTAAGTCCACCATGTCCCACATGATGTTGCTTTTGGAATCTTAGGACAAAAATGGACTTAACAGCCAGATGCTTTACATGTGATAATACTTATTAATAAATGTGAAGCACCTAGCAAAGTGCGGGGCACACAGTAATCACTCAATCAATGTTAGTGACTGTTACTACATGAATTAACTCATTTAACTCTCACAACTGCCTTAGGTTTTACCTAAGATGAAGTCAGTCCCATAGAAGTTAAGCGATGTGACCAAGGTCACATAGCATGAGTGGCAGAGCCGAGATCTGAACTCCTGCAGACTGACTGGCTTCTGTTCCTCCAGCCTGCCTTTGCTCAGGCTCTCCAAATGCCTGCTCTGGTCTGCAGCTCTCAGGCTGCCATACCCAGCTCAGGCCTTGCATTCTGAACTCTGAAAATGACGCAAACCCTCCAGGGTGAAATCTCGGCTTCTGGTAAAGCAGAGAAGGGGCACACTGACGTCAGTTTCTGATTCACCAGGCACAGCCACCTCTGCTCTCCACATGACCAAATCTCCCTCGTCCTCACAGCACCTCCATTTCAGCTAGATTCAGGCAGCAGTTTGCAAGGGTATTGGGAGACCAAGGGCCCACAAGCCCTGCTCAGTATACAGGCAGGACCCGTCGTGGGCCCCCAGTGCCAAGAAAGTAGGGTCCCCATTCTCAGAAATTCCTTGAACCCAATCCCCTTCCTCACCTCGCTGAGATTAATTTCAATCAATTGGTCATAATGGCAGCCAGGGTCAGGCACCAAGTGATCCTTGAATTCATCAGCTAGATTGGCAATCTCTGAAATCAATAAGGAAGAAGAGTAAAGCATGTGAAACAGGAATTGGTCTTGAGATTTCATCCTTCCACCCACCTGAGCCATAGTTACCTGGCACCTGCAAACAAACACCAGGCCCTGGGCATTGACTAGGCCAACAAAGGACCAACGTGAACTGCTCAGGACACTGTCCCTGCCCTCAAGGAGCTCACGATCTAGGGAAAGAGCTATCAGTGAACCAAAAGTCCTAGCACTCATGGGAGCTTGAGTTGCGTGTATCTGTCAGGTCAGGAGTTCGAAACCAGCCTGAGCAAGCACCGAGCAACCCATCTTACAAAATAGAAAGAATTTGCCAATCTAAAATATATACAAAAAAAAAATAGCCGGCATGTGGCAAATGCCTGTAGTCCCAGCTACCAGGAGGCTGAGCAGAAGGACGCTTGGTCCCAGGAGTTTGAGGTTTGCTGTATCTAGCTATGCCCACAGCACTCATCTAGCCTGGCACAGAGTTAGATCGTCTCCAAAATAAAAAAAAAGAAAAAAGTGAACCAAATTATACAGAAATGACAGAGTCATACACGAGAAGCACTGGCTAAGGTTCAGAGTCTGGGAAGGCTTCCTGAAATGAACAGCTGAGTTTTGAAGGAGGAAAAGTCACTTGATAAAGAAAGGGAGGGAAGGGCGTTCCAGGAAGGACTCCACTGCTCAGAGCTTGGAAGCAAACAGGAGCTCTCACCATGGCCACTGGCCTCTGGCTCCACCCAATCGTGTCACTCAGCTCCCTTCATAGGCTCCAATGCCTGACTTCCTCCTCTGAGCTTCACAGAAGCCCGCTAGAACCTCAAGGGCGTTGGGGGCAGGGAATTTGGGAAGGTGGTTCTAGTTCCAAATGTTTTTCCTCCTCCCTTTGATACCCTTTCTATGGCAAGAATTATAAAAAGAGATCCATGTCATTTCTGGAGCTTCCTGTAGGGGGCAGCAGGGGACCGGGCTGAGAAGGATCCTTGGTGAAACTAAATTCCAATCCTGAGGCAGTGCCATCTCCAACTTAGGGAAGCTGAAGAGAGCTATAGACACCCTACTCAGAAACAGTAACACATACTTTAGGGGTTTCTCAGAGCCTCTGAAGCCAGTCTGCAAGCACCAGCTTAAGGACCCCTGCCCTACAGGGAAAGGCGCAGCTCTCTCCTGGGGAGGAGCGCGCAACATGGCTGTTCTGCCCACACCAGCCTGCCCCTGCCAGCTCACCTGCCCGGCCTGTCTTGCTCAGGTATTTCTTCATCCTGTGGTTGTAAGGGAATACTGAAGTGGTGGCCCCGATTTCTGCGCCCATGTTGCAGATTGTCGCCATGCCTGTGGAGAAATAGAGCCCATGGGCTGCCTAGGCAGCAGGGCGAGGGTCTCACACCTGCTACATGGGCACACACGTCACACCAGGGAGTTGTGTCACTTCTTCCCTCGCCCACAGAGCCACCTAGTGGTAGTGGGCAGACTCATCCCTTGAGGCCCAGTGAGGGAGGGCCCAGAGCTCATGTCACCACCACCCCACCCTCACCCCCTGCACAACCCACTCAGAGCAGCTGCTGGATAGCGTGACAGGACACAAGATTCAGCCCCAACAAGACCCATTGTTCTGGCCGGGCGTGGTGGCTCACGCCTGTAATCCTAGCATTCTGGGAGATCGAGGCGGGCGGATTGTTTGAGCTCAGGAGTTCAAGACCAGTCTGAGCAAGAGTGAGACCCTGGTCTCTACCCAAAATAGGAAAAATTAGCCGGGCACGGTGTCGCATGCCTATAGTCCCAGCTACTCAGGAGGCTGAGGCAGAAGGATTGCTTGAGGCCAAGAGTTTGAGGTTGCTGTGAGCTAGGCTGACGCCACCGCACTCGAGCCTGGGGAATAGAGTGAGACTCTGTTTCAAAAAAAAAAAAAAGACGCATTGTTCTAGTTCTGGGCCTGGCTATATGCTGAGCAGACCAGACAGGTGCCATGTACTGAAGGGTGACATGGCCAGACACTGCCCAGTTGGCTTGTTCCAAGTCTCCCTGGATTTCTGATGGCCCAGGCATTGAGGCTAGTCACCAGGAGTCATGGGTTGGAAGGGGCCAGCTCCTACCTTGTCCTGGAGATACCAGCCGGTAATCTCTAATCCATGGGAAGACAGTGAGACTCAAACTCCAGCCCAGGGAAGACGGGGGACTACAGCTACTTCCTGCATGAAGTCCTGGCTCTAACTGCCCAGCCCCACTGCTGCCTCTGTCCTCTCTGGGATCCTTCTGAATCATTAAACATGGCCCAGTGCTATAGGCAGTGACAGGCTGGCTCAGCCCCTAACTCTGTGGGGACACCGGGAAGTTACCTGCCTCCTTGAGGGGATCTCAATCTCTTTATCTGTTTAATGAGGGGTGTGGACCAGACAATCTCTAAGGTTGTCTCCAATCTCCCTTCTACCTGTAAATATCCATTCTAAGTCCCCGAAGGCCATTCACTGCTCTGCTGCTAACTGCCCAGCAGGCCCAGTGCAGGCTGGGGGCCGGCCACCTTCCTCACCAGTGCAGGAGATGGAGTCGACGCCGGGCCCATGGTATTCCACGATAGCACCTGTGCCACCCTTCACTGTGAGGATGCCGGCCACCTTCAGGATCACATCTTTGGGGGAGCTCCAGCCCGAGAGGGAGCCCGTCAGCTTCACGCCAATCACCTGCATGGGAGGTAGGGCGAGATGGCCATTATAGGTCCTGTGCGCCGTGTGCCCTGTCCCATCCAAGAAATCGTAGAACCAACCTGCTGGCCTTCCCATTTCTGCTCATTTCCCCTGCCTCCCTCCCAAAGAGATTTGAGTCTGACCTATTCCCTGTTCCCTTCTGGGCCCCACAGTCTCCCAGTCATCTGCACCAACCACCCCCTGTAGCCAGCCCAGGAGGAGTCCTTCCCTGCCCCTCACCTTGGGACACTTCAGCTCCCAGGGGATCCCAGCCATGACATCCACTGCATCAGCACCCCCAACTCCAATGCAGATGCCCCCCAGGCCACCACCATTGGGGGTATGGGAGTCAGTGCCAATCAGAAGAACCCCAGGGTATGCATAGTTTTCCAGAATAATCTGAAAAAGAATCCAAGATCTTAAGTTTAGAACCCCTTAACAGAAAATGGAGGTAGGGCCCAAAAGGGCCCTGCAAAACTGCCCCCACTGACACTGGCTACCCCAGCCATGCCCAGCGGCTCCTCTTGATGGGCCTACTTAATTCCAGCCATCTTCAGTGTGGCTGAAAAAAGCCAGAGTCTTGGGAGCCAGGCGGCCTGGGCTCATGAATAGCTCTGACAGTTCCTGCTATATGGCTTAGACCTTTAAATGTCTCCCTGTGCCTCAGTTTCCTTGTTTGTAGCATGGTAATCAAAACACTCGCACCATTATGACCCTAGGGTGTGGCAAGAACCAGGCTCAGGGCCTGTCTCACGGGTGGCCTGTCCACAGTATGGAGCACACTACCTGGCTCCTTATCAAGGTGGACAATTCACTCAGGAATTGCTCCAGCCCCCACAAGGTGCCATCCTAGGCAGCTCCTTCCTGGCAAGGGTGACAGTTTGAAAGGGCAGAGCAGTGATCCATTGCTGGCTCTGGTTTCAGAGCAGGGCAGTGCTGGGAGCTCATGCAGGGTCGGATTACAGCCTGACTCAGCTCATCCTGAAGGAGGCCTGGGCAGCGAGGCCTGGGCTGGAGGTGGGGAGAAGGGTCACCTTGGAAGGTGCAAAGCGGCAGGTTTCATACACACAGGATGGATGGCAAATGGACACACATAAACCAGATCATGGTCCTAAACAGTCACGTTGGACGAAAGTAAAGCGCCTCCTTCCCCAGAGACACACACACACACACATTTGTACTTCCAGAGACAAAACTGTCTGCCAAAAGAAAATCCACTCTTGGGGAAACCCCAGAAGAACTCCTAGCTGATGTGGCCACGTGACCTATGGTACCTCCATCCTTCAGAATATCAGGAAGGGGCCAAAAAGAACCTGAGGAGTGCTCCATGCAGAGAGGGGAAGACTCCGGGGGTGACAGAGGCTGCAGAGTGCTCACCAGTGCCTGGCGCCCAATCCTGGCTCCAAAATTTGCCAGTTGGGTGTCTCTCGGCAAGGACATCAACAGCTGTGTGCCTCTGCGTCCTCACTTGTAAGGCGTGGATAATAAAACCACCTGCCTCGTAGGGCTATGGTGAGCACTAAGTCAATACCTTTACAGCGCTAAGTCCAGTGCCTGACACAGCGTGTGCTCGTGACACGTCAGCTATCCACGCAACAAGGTCGGACACTTGTGGAGAAAACACAGAAAACAACACAGTGTTCTGTGTATCACAGTACATGGGACCATAGGTGCCGGAGTACACACTGAGAAGAAGGCACAGAGAGAAATATGTCAACTTAAAATGCTGGCTACCTGGGGTTTAAAAGGGATTATTTTAACTTCTTACCTGGAGAATGACAACATATAACTTGATATAGTGAGGATTAAGTTAAAAACAAAGGAGGAGGAGCCCAAGAGCTGACTGAGATGCCAGCTAGTTGCCCCTCAGCCCTCCTGAGCCCCCAGTCCCCTGCCCCCACAGGCCAAGAAGGTACTCTCCGGTCACCTTAGTGCAGCCTGGGCGCTGAGCCCTGCTTTACCTGGTGAATGATTCCAGATCCAGGCCTCCAGAAGCCCACGCCATATTTGGCACCTGCAGTTGCCAGGAAATTATAAACTTCCTGGTTGATGTCCTATTGGGACAAATCAATAACCAGAGCATTAGTAACACAGCTGTGTCAGGGTGACCCTGCTGAGCCCTCCTCCCTCCATACCACCTCCCCTATGACCGAAATGCTGGCACTGTGAAGATAGGCCCTCTCTTGGAGACCTTCAAAAAGTAATTCCAAAAGGACAAGGCTGTTGGCCCACTGTCTCAGCTGGCAGTCTTGAGGAGAAACACAAGGGAACAGAGAGCACCCCGGTTCTATGACACCTGGCTGGGGGCGTGGGTCTGGAACAAGTCCCTGCTCTGCCCTGAGTCTCAGTTTCCTTATCTGTAGAAGGAACTGAGCTAAATAATCATCAAGGGTCCCTGTGGTACTCAAGTCCCCAGCCAAGGCCAGCAGTGCAGGAACATGCCAGGGCAGGATGGTCTGGCCAGGCCAGGCTGTCGAGTGAGGGGAGGACTCTCACAGGGAAGCAGTGGGATCGGGCAGACCGCCAGGTCCCCACGTGGGGCGTTGCTTCTCCACCTGAGCCTTATCTGTAACCGCAGCTGATATCACTGAATGCACACTATGGCAACTGCATCATGCTAAGCAGCCTTACAGCCCACCCAGGGAGAGAGGACTGTCATCAAGTCCATTTTTTTTTTTTTTTTTTTTGAGACAGAGTCTCACTTTGTTGCCCAGGCTAGAGTGAGTGCCCCGTGGCGTCAGCCTAGCTCACAGCAACCTCAAACCCGGGCTCAGTGATCCTACTGCCTCAGCCTCCCAAGTAGTTGGGACTACAGGCATGCGCCACTGCCGCTAATTTTTGTATATATATTTTAGTTGGTCATTATTATTTCTTTTTGGTAGAGACGGGTCTCGCTCAGGCTGTTTTGAACTCCTGACCTGAGCAATCCGCCCGCCTCGCCTCCAAATGCTAGATTACAGGCGTGAGCCACCACGCCTGGCCATCAAGTCCATTTTATAGATGCAAAAACAGAGGCTCAGAGGTAAAATAAGTTGCTGGAGAAGCCAGAGGAGCCAGGGCTTGAAACCAGGCCCGTTTAACCACAGAGCCCAAGGTGCTACATTCTAGTTTAAAATAAAGCTGCATCCTTCTAAGGAGGAGGCCCTGGGACTACATCTGAGAGAGCACCTAGACCAGTGCCTGGCGTGCTGTAGGTGCTCAATACTTGGTAGTGTGTTTGATGGCCCCCAGATGAAAGGCTGTCAAATGGACCACTGTTCTCAAAAGGAGGTTTCAACAAACACGATGATGGGATGGGCTGCAGCCATGCTGCCCAGAAAGGACGCTTCCTCGAGGACAGGGAGGGCTCCACGACGCAGCTGACGGGAGGAAGACAGGGCACATCCCTGGGCAAGTGAGACTCACCCCAATGGCAAAAGAGGTGGGACCACGGTGGACAATACAGAGTCCCAGAGGAGGAATGAAGAAATGAGACCGCCAGCTTCTGGGCATGGGAGCACCGTGCTTCATGGCAGAGCAGTGTCCCACTGTCAGCCCCCTCAGGCCTTTGATAAAATACTTTTTTTTTTTTTTTTGAGACAGAGTCTCTCTTTGTTGCACAGGCTAGAGTGAGTGCCGTGGCATCAGCCTAGCTCACAGCAACCTCACACTCCTGGGCTCAAGCTATCCTTCTACCTCAGCCTCCCAAGTAGCTGGGACTACAGGAATGTGCCACCAAGCCCGGCTAATTTTTTCTATATATATTAGTTGGCCAATTAATTTCTATTTATAGTAGAGATGGGGTCTCACTCTTGCTCAGGCTGGTTTCGAACTCCTGACCTCGAGCAATCCGCCTGCCTCAGCCTCCCAGAGTGCTAGGATTACAGGCTGAGCCCACGCGCCCGCCTATAAATATTTTTTTTTTTTTTTTTTTTTTTGAGACAGAGTCTCACTTTGTTGCCCAGGCTAGAGTGTGCCCGTGGCGTCAGCTAGCTCACAGCAACCTCAAACTCCTGGGCTCAAGCGATCTCCCTGCCTCAGCCTCCCGAGTAGCTGGGACTACAGGCATGCGCACACGCCCGGCCTAATTTTTATTATTATATCAGTTGGCCAATTAATTCTTTATAGTAGAGACGGGGTCTCGCTCTTGCTCAGGCTGGTTTTGAACTCCTGACCTTGAGCAATCCGCCCGCTCGGCCTCCCAAGAGCTAGATTCAAGCGCATGACCACACGCCCGCCTGCTATAAAATACTTTTAAAACCACATTACCCGCTTCATTTCAATTCCAGATCTACCACATAACCTTCTGAGGGCCCATTTGGGTCCTGCAGGTAAATAAAAGAAATGGGAGACAAAGTACTCGGGTTGCCAGAACTTGGGAACAGTCTCTTTCCAATTAATATACTGCCCTTTTCACTTACAAGTCAGTCACTTACAACATTGGTACAGAGGGCAGGATGCTGTAGTCGTGTCTGGGTACATGTGCAGCGTGTGTCTGTGTTGGTGGCCCCAGAGTCTCGGCCTAAACTCAGCCTGGATCCCTCTCTGGCTGTGCGACCCTGGATAGGTCATTCTGCCTCTGTGGGCGCCAGCCAGAGGGACTCTCTATGAATACATGTAAAAGTGACCATATCCTTCTCCTGCTCAAACCCCTCTATGACTCCGAGGATGGTGACCAGGGCTTTCCCCACAGCCCTCAAGGCTCTGCCCGGCCCGGCCCGCCCACCTCACTCTGCCCTCTCCCACACAGAACCCCAGCCCTGCGGGCCCCTTCAAGTTCTACCAAAGCACTGAGTTTCTTCCTGCCCCAGGACTTTTGCGTATGTTCTTTTTAGAATGTTCTTCCTCCAGTTAACATCAACTGATCTGCTCAGGTTTCAGCTTGTATGTCACATCCTGAAAGAGGCTGTCCCTTTCCCGAAAAACCTAAATCAGACCTCTGGCTTATACTCTCTCCTGCACTTTCCCTTCCTCACACACGTGTAGACTGCTTGCTCCGCATCCAACTCCCTACTAGGTCCGTGGACACAGGCCCCCTGTCCTGTTTGCATCAACTCCAGCGCCCGGCATGGTGCTGGCTTGTAGAGAGCACTCCATAAGCACTTGCTGAATAAGTGAGGAAATGAGCTCCAAAATGCCATGATTCTGTGAATCTCATCTCCAGAAGGTAGACCCATAAAGCAAGGACAGGGCCAGCCCCTCAAAGTAGTGGCCTCAGTGGGCAGAGGTCCCCAGGGCGGAAGAGGACCCAGGTTCCTGGCTGTGCGCAGCTCCGGCACTGCAGGAACGCCCACGACGTCACCTCCCCTGCGGTTGCTAATATGGAAACGGCCGGCCGGCAGGCAGGACTCGCGGTGGAGTGGAAAAGAGACACTGTGTAGCCAGGACACACACCAGTGGGCCCGGGTGGGAAGAAAGGGCTCCAATGGGAAAGCTGCCCCGAGTGTTTCCCATGGGCCCAGGAGGCTCTTTGAGCCACGCTGACCCTGGGAGCCGAGGCACTCTCAATCGCTGCCCACTCCGTGCCAGCCAGCTGCAGCCCTGCCAGCATTCAGCTCTCGCCAACAACCCTCCCCTCGACGGGCGCCCACTCCCACTGCAGGGGGCAGAGAGCGGGAGGCCCAGAGCCGGGACAGAGAGGCCTGCTGTTGCCAAGAGTGGGCACAAAGGTACCATCAGCCAGGCCTGGGAGAAGGAGCAGGAATTTGGTTTCACAAGAAAGGGAGGGGGAACTCTAGGAAGAAACTTCAGCTCGGCATACAGCCACCTCCATGTAGTCAAGCAAAACTCACCCGGAATACGGCCCCAAAGCAGGCTGCTCGGTGCAGTGGGAGTTGCGATTAGGTTCAGCCCTAACCCTGCTCTCACGTGGTTTTGTAACTCAACTGTACAGTGCCTTGGCAGTCTCAAATTTACAAACTGTGTCACTGTCTGGCCTACCTTCCTGACAGGGTCAGATGGGTGGGAGCACACGTGTGACGCTGGCACAGGTGTGCTGAGACGTGCCCCCGCTGCTCGGGCAGAAAGGCAAACCTGCACTGGCCTCTCCAGAGCAGTGGCAGTGTGCATCGGCGCCTGGTGTCTGCCTCGTTTCTCTAATGTAACAGGGAAAGGACCTTTAGTGTCCTAAGATTAAGCATGATTTTTATTTTCTTTAGGCTTTCTCCATATTTTTTAATGAGCAAATGGTAATCAGAAAAAAACAAAAACAAGTTTTAAAAGCAGACTAAACCAAAAAGCCCATTAGAATTTGGAGGTGATGCCCTGGTTTGCCCTTGTGTAAACACTGTGCCTCTCATCCCCTGTCACACCCTACCCAGCCGCCCCCAACGCCACCTTCAGCTCACCTTGGCCCGGCGCAGGTCTTTCTCGCCCCCAACCTGGGCCTCAATCAGATGGTCACAGTGGATGGTGGACGGCACGGCCACCTTGGGCAGCCCACTGCTGATAAACTGCAGCATGGCCATCTGGGCCGTGGCGTCCTGCATGGCCACGCGGTCCGGCCGCAGCCGCAGGTATGTCTTGCCTCGCTCGACCTCCTGGTTGGCCGGGTCATCCAGGTGTCCATACACGATCTTCTCTGCGAGGGTCAGAGGCCGGTTCAACCTGGGGGGAGAAGGGAGAGAGGTGCCCTGGTACCAGCTGCACCCCCTCCTGCCCATCGCAGTGTCTCCCTCTCAGGGCACACGGCAACCGTGACAGTGGGCAGGGAAAGGGAGCCTGTACTTAGGACCTCGAGTTCCACTCGGGTGGTGACGGCTCAGTCCTGCTCATGGTGGTACCTCCAGCACATGGCGCCGTGCCTGGCACTCATTAGGTGCTCCAAAATCACTTGATGAGTAAGTGAATGGCATCACAAGAGGTGACAAGGATGGTTTTTTCAAAGGATGTTTGCTTTCCCAGTATATTAGTTATTATCTAATACGCACCTATAATGTGTATACCTCATCATTTAATCTTCATTGTATTCTTGTCATTTAATAAAACAACTATGAGAGAACAGGCTCAGCAGAGTGTTTATGGCTCAAGTTTGCAGCTTGAGTCTCCCCTTGGATCCCCGACTTCTCTCTGTGCCCTCAGCCTCACTAAGACACAGGGGATCAGCACCCACATCCCCTTCACCCAATCTGACCCTCCAGCCACATGTAGCCCTCCACCTACATTGTCCCACGAGCAGCCCTTGCTCCCACCCCATTGAGACAGGCATGGCTGTCAGCTCTCAAGAACTGAAACCCAGTCACTGCCGCCAGCCTCTCACTGGTCCTCCTCTTCCCACTTCTTCCTAGACCCTCCCTTCTTCATCAGGGCCAAAATGGCAGCCAAAGCATGGCCCTTGCGGGGGTTGCAGCCCCTGCCAGGACTCAGCTGCCTCCTCCTCACCAGCCTCCACTCATCTACACTGAGCTTGTGTGGGGCTATTCCTCCCACCCTGCTCCTGGCTGACCCCCTGCCGCTGCCCACACAACAGAGCAGCTGCCCCCTGCCTGCCACCAGGGCTGCCCCCATTCTTAGAGCGTAGGCCAAACTCAAGACCTCCTAGGAAGGAGCAGAGTTCCACCCACACCCAATAGGCTACGCTCTACTGTCTGAGGCCGGAGGAAAAAAACAGCAGACCGGGAGTCCGAAGCTGTGGGTGGAAGCCTGACACTATCACTAAAGCCACTGTGTAACCAGATAAGCGACTGCTCTCGGGAGCTCAGCCAACCCCGCTCTAAGGTCCACCACTGCACTGGAACGCGCTAACGGCTTGCACTTACACAGCACTTGGTTTTTAAACAGCTTCACTGAAGTGTAATTGCTCATGTTCAAAGCACACGATTTGGTAAGTTTGACCACAGTATACACCTGTGACAACAGCACCACCATCAAGATACTGAACATATGGCTGGGCGCGGTGGCTCATGCCTGTAATCCTAGCACTCTGGGAGGCTGAGGCGGGTGGATCACTCAAGGTCAGGAGTTCGAAACCAGCCTAAGCAAGAGTGAGATCCCGTCTCTACTAAAAATAGAAAGAAATTAATTGGCCAACTAAAAATACATAGAAAAAATTAGCCAAACATGGTGGTGCATGCCTGTAGTCCCAGCTACTCGGGAGGCTGAGGCAGAAGGATTGCTTAAGCCCAGGAGTTTGAGGTTGCTGTGAGGGAGGCTGATGCCACAGCACTCTAGCTGGGGCAACAGAGTGAGACCCTGCCTCAAAAAAAAAGATACTGAACATATTCATCTCTCCCAAAAAAGTTTTCTCCTGCCCCTTGGTAATTCCTCCCTCCCACTCCACCCCTGGCCACCACTGATCTGCTTTTTGTCACTACAGATTAGTGTCACCATAGCATTTACTTTTAGCCCTGAATTATCTTAAGCACTTTCACATATATAACTCATTTTATCCGCACAACACAGTGACGAAACTGCAGCACAGAGAGGTGAAGCGGCTCACTCTCAGATCACAAAGCCAACGAGTAGCAAGGCTGGAAAACAAGGAGCCAGCAGCGTGGCTCTACTGGCCGCGCCCTTTACGTTAACCTACACCGTCTCCGGACACTTGGAAACTCAGAACAGGGCCCTGCGCGTAGCTAGCGTGCAATCGTCGTCATTGCTATTGCCAACATCACTCTGCCGGGAAAGCAGAGAAACTGCCTTCTGCCAGCCCCTCACCCCCAAGTTTACCTAACCCCTCGAAATAAGAGTTCCCTAAGGTGCTGGCTCTCGGGGTAACAGTAGATCAACTGGCCATTGTGAGAATCTCTCTAGTTCTGCCCTGGTGAGAACCCTAAATAAAAATAGAACTAGCGGGAAGTATAGCCTGCCCTGTTTGCAGCAGCAACTCCGAGGCTGGTGCATAGGCGATGACTCACTGCACAGAGCACAGCCCCTCTTTCAGGGACCCAGGGGAGACCAAAAAATAGCACATGGGCTTAAAAACCCAAGACCTTGAAAGCATTTGCCTGAAGTTGTATAAAAAAGCTGACAATGATAAAGCCTAAGGATTCATTCATTATCACATTTCCTTGAAGATTAACTGAGGGTGGCAAAGTGGGTTTTCAAAGTCCATCTGTCCCTGTGCTGTTCTGGATGACACAGACCCAATTCGCAAGAATAGAGACTCAGACCCCTTCTGTCACAGACACAGGGTGAAGGAAGAGTCCCCCAGCAAATTCCCTGACCTTCTAAAAAAATTCTTTAGAATAGAAGTCATTTTAGAATAGCCTCATCTCTACCTTCTTTCTCTATGTCAGGGTTTCTCAACCATGGCTCTAATGACCATGTGACCAGATGATTTTTTTTTTTTTTAAATACATGGTCTCACTCGGCTGCCTGGGTTAGAGTGCAGTGGCATCATCAGAGCTCACTGCAACATCAAACTCTTGGGCTCAAGCGATCCTCCAGCCTCAGCCTCCTGAGTAGTTGGGACTACAAGCGTGCACCATTACACTCCACTAATTTTTTAAATTTTTTGTAGAGACAGGGTCTTGCTATGTTGCCCAGGCTGATCTTGGACTCCTAGGCTCAAGCGACTCTCCCACCTCAGCCTCCCAGAGCACTAGGATTACAGGCATGGGCCACCACACCCGGCCTCAGATGATTCTTTTGTTGTGGGGCTCATCTCCTAGTGCCTTAAAGGGCATTTTTGTTGTTGTTGTTAAGCAAAAACTAAACTCTTTTGTCAAGTTATCTCAAAGCAAACCTCTATGTAAGCTCTCCTTGTGTGCCCAATGAAGAGCACAGTGGAAGTGTTTGCAGATTAAAGGAAAATCCATCATTTTTCCAATGAGCTACAGTCTGAGAGTTCCAAGAATAAACAAAATCCTGTTTCCTGGGAAACAAGTATTTGTACAAGGTCCTATGTTGATGGGGACAGTGGTTCTTAGTCCTGACTACACTTCAGAATCAGCTGGGAAACTGGCCAGTACTTCTCACATTTTGACGTGCACACAAGTCCCTAGGAATCCTATTAAATGGTAGGTTCTCAGTGGGTCTGGGGTGGGGTCTGAGACTCTGCAATTCTAACAAGCTCCCAAGTGATGAGAATGCCGCTGCTCATGGACTACATTTTGAATAGCAAGGTCTAGACCACTTACACCAGAATCACCAGGAGTGGGACCAAGGCAGGTCATTTTAAAAGCTTGCCACGGCCAGGTGCGGTGGCTCACGCCTGTAATCCTAGCTCTCTGGGAGGCTGAGGCAGGCAGATCACTCAAGGTCAGGAGTTCGAGACCAGCCTGAGCAAGAGGAAGACCCTGTCTCTACTAAAAATAGAAAGAAATTAATTGGCCAACTAAAAAAATATATATAGGTGATTGCAAAAAAATTTAAACTGCCACAATGAGGACAGCCGGTTTATTCAATAAGGATGGAACATTCACTATTAAATGCAACAAAAAAGCAAAAGGTGTTGGCTTGGCTTGAGTCTTTAGCCAACTCTCGTAACTTCTTGGGGGCCTTGCTTTTCACATCTGCACAGGGAAATTCTCAGCCTTGCTTCACAGCAGTACTGTGAGAGGGTTTAAAAGCATGAAATTCTCTGAGAGTTTGGCCATATTAATATGTTAGCCTGTAGACTGACTTAAAAGGCAAGGCCACCATGTGCTATGATCTGTCTGAATGTGTCTCTCAAACTTCATGTGCTGGAAACTTAATCCCCAGTGCCAGCAGTGTTGAAAGGTGGGACCTTTAAGAGGTGACGGGTCAGAGGGCTTTGCTCTTAAGTATGGTTAATGCCATTATTGCAGGAGTGGGTCAGTTATCAGGGGAGTGGGGTTGCTGAGTAAGGCTAAGTCCATCCCCTTCCTCCCTTCTCTCTGGCATGCTCTTGCCTTCCACCCTCTGCCACAGGATAACATTGCATGATGGCCCCTCACCAGATGTGGGCCCTTGGGCTTGGACTTCCCAGCCTCCACTACTGTAAAGAAATCAATGTCTTTGGTGGGCGCAGTGGCTCACACCTGTAATCCAGCACTCTGGGAGGCCAGGAGTGAGGATGCTTGAGGTCAGGAGTTGAGGTTGCTGTGAGCTAGGCTAACGCCATGGTACTTTCCAGACCAGGCACAGAGCAAGACTCTTGTCCCCCCCCAAAAAAGTCTTTTCTTTATATTAATAAAATTACTCAGTATATTGTATTGTTTTAGCAACCACAAAAGGACTAAAAACTAAGATCATTCATTTATGGGCCCCTATCTCTCATATGTAAAAACGACAAACTGGCCAGCGTGGTAGCTCAGCCCTGTAATCCTAGCAATTCGCTGAGGCGGCGAATTGCTCCAAGGTCAGGAGTTCGAAACCAGCCTGAGTGAGACTCCGTCTTACTAAAAATAGAAAGAAATTAATTGACCAACTAAAATATATATTAGAAAAAATTAGCCAGGCATGGTGGCGCATGCCTGTAGTCCCAGCTATCGGGAGGCTGAGGCAGCAGGATGGCCTTGACGCCAGGAGTTTGAGGTTGCTGTGAGCTAGGCTGACGCCACGGCACTCACTCTAGCCTGGCAACAAAGTGAGACTGTGTCTCAAAAGGG